AACCAAAAGCAACAACAACAAAACAAAACAAAAACCCCCCAAAACTGCAGTGATTTTATACACACACACACACACATGAAATTAATATTCTATAGTCATACTTTTCACTGCTTTCCAGTTAGTTCATGTTACTGCTCAGTTAAGATTCTGTTGCTGAGTTTTTTATTTCTGGAAACAAGATCTCACTGTGTAGCCCTGGCTGGCCTGGAATTTACAGAGATCTGCCTGTCTCTGCCTCTCAGGTACTGCAATTAAAGCCATGCACCACCACTCCTGGCTTACTTAGAAAAACTGCAATTAGCTGACATACTCTATTATTCAGTCCCTGCCCTTTGCAGATACCTACACTCTTTTTCTTTACTGATACTCAGGGTTGAATCAACTTTAAACTATTCTAGGAAAGTTCAGAGTAGCAAATCTTCCAAATAATTACAGGAAGGAAAATCTCATTTCAAAGTCAATTATCAATGACTGGTCTATCTTTTTCTATTTGTCTTCCTGACTATAAAAAGGAATCACAGTCTCGAGCAATGAGCCTCAAGCTAAAAAAAGAGCTCTATCGGTCCAGTTTATTAGTATTAGTCTGCTCCAAGTGAAGGAGAAAAACAAATCTAACCTGCAGAGAAGCCCCTCCTATCTACATGTAGGAAGCCACCTAAAAACTGTCTTTAATGCCCAGTATATAAAATATAAAGTATTCTAAATTAGAAAATAGCATTAATGGTTTATTGGTAAAAATTCAAACTCCATAGAATTAGTAGTTTGGTTTATATATTAACACACCATCTTAATTTCTGCTAATTTTACAAAGAAAGAGAAAAGCTAGAAATATCTATAAAAATAAAATCCTTAAGTCCAACATCTAGGGCAAAATACAAAAGTTGCACACAGATTGCCAATAAATATGAACATCACGATAGAAAAATTAACCTTAAAAATAAGCTAATAATTGCTATTAAGACATTAGAAAAATGAGAACATTCGATGTGCAAAGAGACAAAGTACACAGCAGACAATCGGTGTAATTCTACTGCCATCACGACGTGATGCGGCAGTACAAGGTTGCTGAGGTGTGCTGTTTCTCAGTCTAGGGATCTTCTGCAGGGACGCTCACTAAACTCACACGCAGGAACTGGTTAAGCTGACCATTTATGTTGTTTACTGAGTCATGGTATCAGGACAAGCTGTCTTCTAACACAAATGGGTCTCACTCTCCTTATCCCCCACCACAGTCCAAATCTGCATTTTTCCTCTTCCCCTAGTGCTAGGGTTGAAGTCAGGGCTTTGCATATGCTAACTAAGCATGTGCTCTACCAAGGAGTTACAAATCCTCAGACTACGGTCTGTTGTTAAATAATCGACATGGCTCTCTTCCAGCCGTTCTCCAGTCCTCCCACCCTGGAAAGACAGGGGCCATCTAAAACCGTCACTACTGCCTAAAAACAGAATTTCCCTAAAGACTGGGCGGTAATCATTTTGCTTTCTCTCTTAATGGAAAAGGTCGGGTCAGGGGTAACTGTACAGGAAAAGTAGCTCAGAATACGCAGTTCCTGGCACGGTCCTTTTGCCTTGGGGCACTTATTACTGTACCTGTTATCTCATATACATTGTAGATTACTTCAAACATAGCTGAGAATTAAAAATTATATTTTCAAAATTACAAAATCAATTTGGTGAGCATTAACTTAGACATGTTACTACGTAAAAGCCCCTTGGTTCTCTAGACCAAATTCACGACAACAAATAATATTATTTATATGAAACTGTCATACTTGTGGTATTCTAAATTATCTTAAAAATTTTTTGCTTTATGCTATTTAAAAAATAAAAATCTACAGCACCATCTTCAGAAAAGGCAATTTCTCAGAACCGCCTTGATTTGGAAAATAATTTACAAACCATTCAGTATCTACCCTAAAAAAATCTCTTTATTGAGACCCTAATATAGAACAATAAGAGATTCTGGTGACCTTAGACATTGATTTCAAAAAGAGAGGGAGCTTGGGGCTGGAGAGATGGCTCAGTGGTTAAGAGCATTGCCTGCTCTTCCAAAGGTCCTGAGTTCAATTCCCAGCAACCACATGGTGGCTCACAACCATCTGTAAAGAGGTCTGGCGCCCTCTTCTGGCCTTCAGGCATACCGACAGAATATTGTATACATAATAAATAAATAAATATTTAAAAAAAAAAAAGAGAGGGAGCTTACTGGCTGGCCGGATGATTTGAGAAGATCCTAGTTTTGTCATAGTGTTTGTTACCTGTAACTTCACAGGGTCTCGTACTGGTAATCCAACCCTCCATAATGAAGTTTACCATCCTTTTATTCAATTTAAAGTCATTAATTTCCATGTTTTAAAAACAAAAGACTCTTAAGATTTAATAATATAAAACTCTAGGGCACTCCTTTTGGTGTGTGAGGTAAATTTCAACTGGCCATGGATAATCAACAGAAGCCTTGTCCATTTAAAAACTGCCGACTTACAGGGAAAATTATAAACTTAAATGTAACATTTTTAGAACTATGAAAAAAGTAAAAGTATTTTTTCCCTTTGTGACTATATTTTATTTATATATAGATCACCTTCTTCCCCCTGGAACCCAGCTTGGGTTTAATCACAGCGTTATATCTATCATCATAGATTTTTTTTTAGAAACAATTCTCTTTTTAATTTCTTTTTTAATTTTATTGGTGGTTTTGCTCATATATATATATATATATATATATATATATATATATATATATATATATATAGTCTGTGTGCCGGTGCTGGATCCTGGAGTTACAGACAGTTGTGAGCCGCCCACATAGGTGCTGGGAATTAAACCCCAGGTCCTCTGGAAGAGAAGTCAGTGCTCTTAACCACTGAACCATCCCTCCAGCCCCTCTGATTTCTTTTGTCTTTGTTCTTTTCTTTTGGGTTTGCCCAAACCAAAAATTTGGAGACAGAGTATTGCTATGTAGCCTAGGCTGGCCTCAAATTGTATGTAGCCCATATTGGTCTTGAACTCAAGACCCTCTGGCCTCAGCCTCTGGGTGTGAGGGTCACTCACGCCTTTAGTCCTGGCACTCGAGTGGCGTGGGATGTCCTTCTGTGTGTGTGCTGCTTTTATTGGTTTATCAGTAGATTCAGTAATCTACCCTTTTATCCTACCATTGGCTTTATTCGTCAACCAATAAAAGTGACACATACACAGAAGGACATCCCACATCACATGGGAGGCAGAGGCAGGAGGATCTCTATGAGTTTGAGGCTAGCCTGGTCTACAGAGCAAGTTCCAGGACAGTCAGGGATATTACACAGAAATCCTGCTTCGAAAAATCAAAAAAAAAAAAGTTACATTTATGTGTGAGTATGTGTGTGTGCGCGAACACGTGCATGTACTTGAGCCCACAGGAGTGGCGCCATGGCATGTGTATGGAGGTCAGAGGACAATTTATAGGAGTTGGTTCTCTTTCCACTGTTTGGGTCCCAAAGACTGAACTCAGGTTTTCAGACTTGGTGGTGTCTTTCCCTGCTGAGCCATCTCCTGCCCTCTGTACTGACTTTTACAAACTTATTCATGGCTTAATTTTCAACTCTCTTTTAAAAATAATTAATTTATTTTTATTTTTACTTCATAAGCACTGATGTTTTGCTTGCATGAATGTCTGTGTGAGCGTGTTGGATCTCCTGGAATGGACTCACAGATAGGTGGGTGCTGGGAACTGAAGCAGTCAGTGTTCTTAATCGCTGAGCCATCTCTCCAGCCCCTCAGCTTTTGGCCCTTATAGAGCCACAGAAATGCTTATGTGTTAGGTGGAAAGGAAGTAGGACTACAAAGACCCTCTAAGTCAGGTACAGCATCACACAGGATGACCTCATGTGATATAAAGTTCTTTGACTATTTTTTATTAAAGCTTCAAAAATACCTACAAATTCCCCAGAAGGATGAAAAGGCCTAACCCTTCACATGCATAAAGCAGTTGAGTCAGGAACACTGGACAAGTGAACTGTCTGTCTTTGACAAACTCACTGATCTCATAAGAGGTAAGTAAACTACATGGAACTATTAAGAGCAGCCTTTCTCTGCAACAGAGGAATACCTACAGGGATAAGATAAATGGACTTTTTGCTCTTGTTTTGCAACATGGTCTCGTGTAGCTGAGGTTGGCCGTGGACTCCTGATTCTCTTGAAGGCTGGAATTATAAGTGTACCTTATACCTGGCTCAGTTGAATGTATAACTCAGTTTAATGACACCAAGTGGAAATTATACAGAGATATCAGTTAAACTTCTTGGCAAAACATTACTATCAAAGTTTGAAACAGAAAGAGAACAAAGACTCTACTAGTGTCCAAGTGGCCAGCTCCTTGAATTTCGTAAAAATTAAGCACATGAAAAGTCCTAGCACGTGCTTCAGGCAGATGTCTCTCTGGGGTTCACATGCTTCAGGCAGATGTCTCTCTGGGGTTCACGCCTGTTGCTGGCCTCCAAGTGCTTGCACTGCCTGACTGAGAGCTTGGAGCCATTTCTACTCAGCAGCAGTTGCTTTCTTATTTCCCAAGACACACTTCAAGTCTGCCATCCTAAGATCCACAGGGCACCATGCACGTCAATATTATGCTGTGGGGACCATAGAGAGCCTGGCTCAGAAAGCTAGCATGGCTCTATAGAAGGGGGGAGTCTCTAGGTCAGAGGTAGAGATAAATCTTTATCAAGAGCCATCCCAAACACACAGGACACTCCTATGGGATCCCTTCTAGATTCTCTTCAGGAAGAAAAGTAAATTAATAGTTCATGTGTAGAGAAGGGATTTTTCCAGATCATATTATTTTCTGAAAAACCTGCCAAAAGATAACTAGTAATAAAATGACAGGTATCCACATTTCTTTGAAAACATGCCAAAGCTCAGGACTGAGAAGACTCAAGTACCAGCCGTGAACTGTCAATGTAAAAACAAACAAACAAACAAACAAACAAAACCCCAAAACTTACATTTCTAAAGCAAAGGTATTCTGTTACTAGATTGGAGCTAGAGCTGTTTCAAGTACCTGCTGTCACCTTCATAATTTATGTCCCTAAAGTTCCCTAACAAATCCAAAGGGTCGGATGCGAGCCTGGCATCTGGCACATCTTATTGGTTAGTGCAGCAATGTCGCCTCTCCCTAAGTAAATATAGCAGCTACAGAATCATTAACACACGTCTCAATACCAGCGCTTACACATTACAATACAGAATCATGTAACATGCACACTGCAGAGACACATTTGCCATCCAGAACATATATTAAGCTCCCAACTCTTCCTCACATGGAAACCAATTATTCGGTTGTTTAGACTGATATTTGTTTTGATCAGCCTTATGAGATATGCCATAAAAACCCGCAGGCCAACATTCATGAGCTAGTGAGCAAGAGGAGGGACAGAAACGAAAAGTTACTATGGTTTCATGAGGTTTAAACTAAAAAAGGAACTTGAGAAAACGATTAGGAATTCTATCCAGAAGTGCAAAAATAATTACTATAAATTTTAAGAAGTATTTTCCATAAGCCTTTTACCTTAAAACTCTAAACACAAAGTTTGTTGGCATTGAGTTTGGTATACCAATTTCTTAGTCGATGGAAAATAGAAATATACTATACATATTCTTCTAAGTTAATTATCTTAAACTAGCAAGACTGAATAATGTAAGAGCATTCTAAAAAAGAAACCATTCAAAGATAAAACCTTATATTTTAGGAAAAAAAATCTTTCCCCTTTAAAAAAAAATCCTTCCAAATAAGAGTTAAAGTAAGGGCTTCACTCTGGTACACGTGAGATCCAAGGTCAGGAAAAAGACAGGGTGTCCATGTTGCTCCCTAAGTCCCTCACATGAATATATGCAGAAGCCGCAGACAGAGGAAGATGTTTTACTTACACTGCACAGACAGAGGCTGCACTATTCTCTTCTCTTGCCCATCTTCCCAAACAGCCAGACACGGTGGTAGGAACCCTATGGTCCAGCTACCAGGGAGGCTGAGGCCAGAAGACTGTTGGAGCCCAGGTGCTGGAGGCCAGCATGGCAATATAGGGAGACTTTGTCTCCAAAGCAAGCAAGCGAACAAACCAACCCCAAACATGTTTCAAGGAATTTTCCTTTGGCCAGGGAGGAGATGGGAAAGTTTTGGAAGGGAAAAGAATTTACAAGTTACACAAATATCCTTTGTAAAGTGCTTTGAAATGGCATTGAGAATTGCAGCTTAGATCCTTCAAAGCAATGAAAGGAAAAATATAGTACTTTCTTAGTTTTCTGTCAGGGAGGACATGGGCTCAGAGTTCAGGCTCTCAAAGTGCAGTAAATGGGCACTAGCAGTGGATTAGAGGCAGCAAGCAAATGAAGATCTAGGTCCACCACTTTCCACACGCAGATGGAGTTCCTGAAAGGCTGACAGCGCCCACAGCAAGCTGTAGTGTCTGTCCCCGAACCAGTGTGTTAATAAGAACAGAGAAAATTCAGATGCAATTTTCATGAATTACAGAGTACAAAGTTCCCTGAACCCTACATCACTGAGAAACTCAGCGTTGGCAGCCTAAAAGTAATCAACGAAAGTTATTGACTAAGAAGTGGAGAAAAATAAGCTTTTAAAGATTTCCCCCATGTTCAGAAACTTAACTAACTTTAAATGGTCAAAGTCCTAAATTCCTTTGTCATTGTCATCTTAGTTTGAAAGAGAAAGTTACACTGGTGAAAAGATAGGAAAAAACCCCACCCAGTATTTTCTTGATTTCTTTTGGTCAAAGAAGCACAATTCTTGAACAATCAAGATCTATTTTAAATAATTAAAAAATCTTTAAACCTTAAGGTGTTCACTGTCTTTTTTTGTTTGTTTTTGGAGACAGGGTTTCTCTGTATAGTCATGGCTGTCTTGGCATTTGCTCTGGAGACCAGGCTGTCTCCCGAGTGCTGGGGTTAAAGGCGTGCACCACCGCTTCCTGGCCATCACTGCTGTTCTTTCAAGCTGAAGTGCAACTGTGTTTCCATCTCTCAGGTGAGCCTCATTTAGTCATTTTACTTCCTGGACGTGCTTTAAAACTGAAAATTATGAAGCTCTCCTTCTGAAATTAAGGCTGTATTACTTTGCCCCCTTTTAAATGACAGAGGTGCCTGTTCCTGTTGTCCGTGGTGAAGACGACAGACACAACTTTCCTTTAAAACTGATTATTGCACTAAAAGAGAGAAAAACTAGTCTATTATTAAACATGGTTACATTTCTATAAAAGGTGTAGCCAATGCAGTTTATGATCATTAAAGCACTATTATTCTATTGAGTATAAAAGCAAAAGGAGCTATACTTCAACATACACGTATGTTTATCTATACACATACACATATATAAAATGTATATATGAAAATCACATTAAGGTATGAGGGTAGTGAGTAAACTAGCATAAAACAAAACCCTAATTCCTTTTCTCTTTCCGTCCTATAGAGTTTCAGATTTTTAAAATATTTCCCCTTTATAAAAGCTTTGAGGGATTTCCAGGTATAACTCGCACAAACAGAGGCTTCAGAACATTTGTCCCTGATCAGAAAGACTTCTGACAAGGGTTCGTATTGATAGCAGCTTTAACACGCTCACTGCAGAAAGGGATACTCGGGTGGCCCCGCTTCTAGACACAGTGCACACATGGCAAAGGTTAAGTCCAGGACAAGAAGAAGCAGACACTGGCAAATATGGCCTCAAGAGACGAGGATTCAGATCATGTAAGAGATAGGAGTTAGGAGTAGGGTATGTAAACGAAAACAAATCTAGTTTGCCATGCTTTACTTCAAATGGGTCATAAATATGAACACGAGTGTCATTTGTAGCGGTAGGGACAAAAGTGTAGATGCTGAAGGCAAGTAGGTAGTGAAAGAAATGACAGTGGCATACGGAGGGATACGAGGGAAAGAAAGCTCCCCAGTGGAATGAACTATAAAATATAGACACAGATACATATATATCTTTGTCTCGATCTAGATATATATGCACATGAAGTATACATATGTGTGTATTTAAAATACAGACTCCTTTACAAGAATAGATAAATGCACATTACTTTTTCTGCACATGTAACTGAACAATCATTGCTTGTGTAGGTGTGTGTTCTTTAACCATCATTCACTTTTTCTTTACTTTTTTGCAAAGATAGTTGTGCTGCCAAGCAACTTGAGGTAAAGGCATTAAAAGGGTTAGACTGTAAGAAATGGAAATAAAACAACCGCTATGCTTCCTATAGGAGACTGCCGAAAAGCAGCTGGCTGGTTTCCTAGTGCATAATGGTGCTGTGTTCCTTGACAGAGTAAACCGTTTTCCTTGGACCAGCAAAAGGACCAGACCCCTATATAGTGTTGGCCTCTGTGTGGCTGGAGCATCCCCAGTGAGCGGACTCCACTGAAACATACATTGTATGTTGACTCGTCTTTCAGCTCGTCCTCTCAGAGAACACACTTGGACTTGTTAAGCGAAGTACATTGTGCGTAAGGTATCTTGGTGAATCTGCACAGCCTTGGCAAGAGCCTGTGGATCTCGCCCATTGCTCTGTCCTGAAACGTGGCTTCCTTCAGCACTGGAAGAGAAGGGTTAATGAACACAAGCATAAACCTTCTGTCCTAATGTAATAATTCTGAAGATGCTACATGTTGTAGAAAATTCCAAAAATAGTTGAAAAGAGAAACTGATATAATGAACTATGTGTCTATCATTTAGACATCTTCAACATGGAAAATTTTACTTTGGCTCTTTCATTTTTTCAGGATTAATTAGAAACAAATCCCAGATATCATATCATTTTTGTCTAATATATATATTATATTATATATACACTCATACATATATTACAAGTAATAACTTCCTTGGGTAATTTGGGAAGCAACCAAGTTACTAGATGATTCTATGTTTTTTTTAAAGATTTATTTAAGGGGGCTGGAGAGATGGCTCAGTGGTTAAGAGCATTGCCTGGCCGGGCGGTGGTGGCGCACGCCTTTAATCCCAGCACTCGGGAGGCAGAGGCAGGCGGATCTCTGTGAGTTCGAGGCCAGCCTGGTCTACAAGAGCTAGTTCCAGGACAGGCACCAAAGCTACAGAGAAACCCTGTCTCAAAAAACCAAAAAAAAAAAAAAAAAAAAAAAAAAAAAAAGAGCATTGCCTGCTCTTCCAAAGGTCCTGAGTTCAATTCCCAGCAACCACATGGTGGCTCACAACCATCTGTAATGAGGTCTGGCGCCCTCTTCTGGCCTGCAGGCATACAGACAGAACATTGTATACATAATAAATAAATAAATATTTTAAAAAAAAGATTTATTTAATTTTTAGTGTGAATGGGTATTTTGCTTGCACATACACGCGCGCGCGCGCGCACACACACACACACACACACACACACACACACACACCATGTGCATGCCTGGTGCCATGGACTAACAGACAGTTGTAAGCCACCATGTGGGTGCTGGAAATTGAACCCAGGTTCAGGGTCTAGGGGAGCAGTCAATGCTCCCAGCTGCTGAGCCATTCATTTCTCCAGCCCCAGGTTATTCTATTATTAGGAAGTTCACACAGTATTTTTAGTAGAAAACCTTATTTGGGGCCATCAGTTGTCATCACCTTTCACGCAGTGCACTGGCTGTCTGGCAGCCTGTGGAACTTGGGTTATGAACAGCAAGACAGACAGAGACATACATGGAAGTGCTTATAGAAACGGCCTAAGGAAATCAGACTATTTGATTTGCTTCGAGAATCCCCACTCTTTATGCCTGTCGTTACCTGTCATGCTCCTTGTCCACAAGATGGTATCTGGCTCTGAATGCCACCAGGTGAGCATAGTACGCTGGTGCAGGGATAGAGACGGATCTTGTGCAGCGCACGTAGGTGTGACAGAGCTGGTACGTCAGCAGCTGGAGCTCATCCGCGGTGAAGCAGTTGTCATCCCACAAGACGTGATAGTGTGAAGGGCGGCTGGTTCCCTATGGAGAAGAAAGGGTACATTCTGGGGATTGATAAACTTCTTCTTTGTAGGATTTTCATTGGTGGGCTGGAAAGATGGCTCGCTGGCTAAGGGTTTGCTGCATTGCCTGGTGACCTGAGTTAGAGTCTTAGATCCCACATGAAGGTGGATGGAGAGAACAGAACCCACAAAGCTGTCGTCTTCTGACCTCCACATCTGTGCAATAGCAGGCACACCCTGCCGCCATATTAACACTCACACACAGACATAATAACACACATTTTTCATTGGTGTATTTTCGTTGTCTATGTAGTTTTATTAAGAACACTGTCAGAGGGCTGGAGAGATGGCTCAGAGGTTAAGAGCACTGGCTGCTCTCCCAAAGGTCCTGAGTTCAATTCCCAGCAACCACATGGTGGCTCACAACCACCTGTAGAGGGGTCTGGTGCCCTCTTCTGGCGTGCAGGCATACACAGACACAATACATAATAAATAAATAAATAAATAAATATTAAAAAAAAAAGAACACTGTCAGACAAGTATATAACTTTGAACATGCTACCTTCGTACCCCTTCCCTTTCTCTGCTTTACCTGCCCCCCACTCTTCTCTCCACTACTCCCCTAGACAGTTTCACATCTACTTTCATGTCATATATACATTCGTGATTTTACACAGCTATATAAAACCTAAACGCTTTTTATTATTATCATTTGATTTTATGTGTATGGGTGTTTTGCCTGCTTGTGTGCCTGTGCACCACCTGCATGGTGGGTGATTGTGGAGAGCTGAAGAAAGCCCTGGATCCACTGGAGTTACAGCTGGGTGCTGGGAACTGAACCCAGGTCCTCCAGAAGAGCAGCCAGTACTCATAACCTATGAGCCATCTCTCCAGCCCTTCCCTATAAAATCTAGGACCTGCAGATAAAAAAAGGAATACAATAGCTTTCTCTCTGAAACTTAATTGCATCTATTTTCTTTTCTTTTTTTTTTTTAAGATGTATTTATTTATTTATTTATTTATTTATTTATTTATTTATTATGAATACACTGTTCTGTCTGCATGAATGTAAGGCCAGAAGAGGGCACCAGATCTCATTACAGATGGTTGGGAGCCACCTTGTGGTTGCTGGGAATTGAACTCAGGACCTCTCGAAGAACAGACAAGTGCTCTTAACCACTGAGCCATCTCTCCAGCCCAATTGCATCTATTTTCATGTAAATAATACAACCTCTTTTTACAGTTGAGAAATTTTCCATTGTGAATATATACTTCAGATTTTCTTTCCATTCCATGGTTGATGGACACCTAGGTTAGGTCCATAACTAGCTATTGTAAATAGAGCTGCAATAAACACTGGCGTCCAAGTGTCTCTGGTACACTGATTTGGAGTCCTGTGGGTAAATACCCAGGAGTGGTAGAGCCGGGTGGTAGGCCTATTTTTACTGTTTTTGAGGCTCTTCCACACACTGATTTACACGAACAGCAATGTAGAGCTCCTTTGTGTCTCTGTCACTGGTACCCGCTGCTGTGCTCCCCCCCTCCCCCACGAGGTCTTAGCACCTTAGCTTGTCCTTGATCTCCCGAGGTAGCCAAGGGTGACCCTGAACTTCTTGTCCTTCTGCCTCCACTTCCAGAGTGCTGGTGTTACAGACTTGCACAGGCTCATGGCTTATGGGGTGCTGCGGATTAAACCTAGTGCTTCCTACATGCCAGGCAAATAGTCTGTCATCTGAACGGTATCTCCAGCCCGTTTATTATTTTCTTAATGACAGCCATTCTGACTGGGGTGAGATGGAATCTCAGCGTAGGCTTAGTTTGCACTTTTCTGGAGGCCAGTGAGATTAAATGCTTTTGTCATGATTATTGGGCATTTGTAGTTCATCTTTTGGAAGTTTTGTCATTTGTCTCTTTCCTTTCTTTTCACAACGCTAGGGATTAAACCAAAGTCTTGAATGTGTCAGCACGCTGCCTCTATTTTATTGATATGATCCTCCCTGCCTCAGCCTCTGTGTACGAGGCATGTGAGCGTGCACCATCACACCTGGCTTTTAGCTTTTATATTGCTTACATTACAGAATTAGAAACTGTTGGGTTTTCAGTTTTAACTAGTAAGAACTGAGACTCACGTTTATTAAACATTTTCTTTAGATTTATTTTTTATTTTATGTGTAAGTGTTTTGCTTACATGTGTGTCTGTGCACCACAGTTAGTTGTGAGCTTTCATGCTGGGAATTGAGCCGTGGTCTTACCAAAGAGCAATCAGTGCTCTTAACCATCGGGCCACGTCTCTAGCCTCCTCATAAAAAAGTTTAAATTACGCCAGGCGTGGTGGTGCATGCCTTTAATCCCAGCACTCAGGAGGCAGAGGCAGGCGGATCTCTGTGAGTTCGAGGCCAGTCTGGTCTACAGAGTGAGTTCCAGGACAGTCAGGGCTATACAGTGAAACCCTGTCTTGAAAAACAAAACAAAACAACAACAACAAAAATTTAAATTACATTTATTAGTGTGAGTGCATGTTGAAGTCAGAGGACAACTTCTGAGAGTCAGTTTTCTCCTTCAACCCTATAGGTGTCAGGGATCAAACTCAGTTTATTGGCAAGGACCTTTAACTACCAAAGCATCTTGCAGACTTTTTTATTTTATTTTATTTTTTTATTTTTCGAGACAGAGTTTCTCCGTAGCTTTTGGTTCCTGTCCTGAAACTAGCTCTTGTAGAACAGGCTGGCCTCGAACTCACAGAGATCCGCCTGCCTCTGCCTCCCGAGTGCTGGGATTAAAGGTGTGCGCCACCACCGCCCGGCCAGACTTTTTTTTAAAAATTTCAAATTAATTAGAAAATTCTTGAGTTGGGCTTGCTGGTACAGGCCTAAATGGATGATAGAACAAATTACTGAGATTTTGTCTTCAAATCAAAAAGGAAAGCCAGATGATGGTGGTGTATGCCGTTAGCAGAGGCAGGTGGATCCCTCTGATTTCAAGGCCAGTCTGCTCTACAAAGTGAGTTCCAGGATGGCCAGGGCTGTTACACAGAGAAACCCTGTATTGAAAACACAAAACAAAAACAAAAGTAAAAATAGTGCCGGTAGAGCACTTGTCTAACACGTGGAAGACCCTCGGTGCAATCCCTGATAAAACTGGGAAGACGTGGAAAGACCGACAACAACAATGTTTAGTCAGTGTGAACTAGAACAGAAGTTTCCAGACGTCCCAAAGGTTTCCAGATAAAAAAGTAGTACTTCTGGGTCGAAGACTCATCGTGACTAATTGCATAACAATGGCCTCCCAAAGTTCTAAAATAAAAAACCTGTTAAACCAGTATTTCTACACCTTATCAACAGAGAATCTCTGTTTCCCTCTATGATACTTATTAAAAAGCTACAATGGGGACTGCAGATGGCTCAGTGGGTAAAGGTTCTTGTGGAAAAGCCTGGTGACCTGAGCTCAACCCTTGGAACACTAGTGAAGGTAGGCGAGACCCAACTTCCAGAAGTTATGCCCACACGCAGTAAATACATTTTAAAGTTGTTTTTGCAAAGCTACCATGGTAGGTAGTAATACAGGTTAAATGTATACTAGGTTAAAATGCACAACCCACTGAAACTAGTTTAATTCCCAGAAGACACTATTATTAACAAGCATGTATCACCTTGCCCAGCTTAATTTTTTTTATTGTATTATTATTTTGAGTCATGAATTTCTTAAAAACAAAATAAGGGGCTGACAAGATTGCTCAGTGGGTAAAGGTGCTTGTCACCAAGCTTGACTGCCTGAGTTTGATTGGTGGGACCTGTTTGGGTTCAAGCATCACTCCACCCTCTGGCATCCATATATCCAAGAGTCTGGAATGTTTGGGTGGAAGTTCCATCCCAAGCCCCCTCCCCTGGGAGCTGCCTCAGTCCAGACTCCACCCCCAGAAAGCCTGCCCAACAGTGAACCCTACCCAGAGAGGGTCAAGACCAGTCCCACAGGGTATTTAAACAGCAACCCAGAGCCTATAGAATGGAAGAAAAAAAAAATCTGTCAACCACACATCAAAGAGTGGATTAACATCTAGAATATATAAATAATGATAAAAAAATCTATAACCTCCAGTTGGACCAATGTATTGTATAGGCATGTCTCAAAAGAAGAAATATAAAGGGGCTGGAGAGATGGCTCAGAGGTTAAGAGCATTGTCTGCTCTTTCAAAGGTCCTGAGTTCAATTCCCAGCAACCACATGGTGGCTCACAACCATCTGTAATGGGGTCTGGTGCCCTCTTCTGGCCTGCAGGCATACACACAGACAGAATATTGTATACATAACAAATAAATAAATATTTTAAAAAAAGAAGAAGAAATATAAGTACCAATAATCTGAAAAAGTGTTCAAAATCCTTATCCTTAAGGAAAATTAAAATAAGTTCTCTGAGATTCTATCTCACCCAATCAGAATGGTTAGCACCAAAAAATATTGGCAAGATGTGTAGAAAGAGGAACTGTATTTATTGTTGGGAGGAAGATTAAACTGTGAGTCACTGGAAATCAGTAGACATGTTTCTCAAAACACTGAAAATGGAACTGAAAATACTCATGTTTGGCTCGGGGCTTCACCCCAGCTCCTGGCATAAGCTCCCTCCCCTGGGTGTTGCCTCAGTTCAAACTCCACCTCCGAGAAAGTGTACCAAATGGTGACCCCTCCTCGGGGAAGGTCAAGACCACTTCCACAGGCTATTTAAACTGCCCCCAGAGGATGAACACATGGTCTCCGGGTTACTCATGGTCTCCCCTTTTCTCTCTTCCCCGCTCCATGTTTTCCCAGGGCCACCTGGGAGTATTGTTATCTTTTAAACATGGGCATCTTTTAATTCAGTTTAATTTAGTTTGATTGGGATTATCTGTGTTGGTGGAGAGGTTTGTTGGCCAGAAGAAAATATTTAACATATATAATATGAAATATATAATCCAGCTACACCGCTCTTGGGATTATACCTAAAGAACGCTAAGCCAATTTATTCCACAGATACTCACACATTTCACGTTTTTGCTGCAATGAGCATACCTAGGAAATGAGTCTGGACCAGATGTCCATGGACAGATGCATAGATAGAGAAAATGTGGTACATACGTTTTTTTGGGACAGGATTTCATGAAGCTTGAGCTGGTCTCAAACCTCCTATATAACCAAGACTGGGTTTGAACTCCTGACCCTCCTGCCTTTGCCTAAGTGCTGAGATTACAAGCTTGGGCCACCATAGCAGCAAGCAGTGGAACTGTATGCAGTCATGTAGCCAATGAGATCATGACTTTGGAAGTCGTTATGTTAAGCAAAATAAACCAGATTAAAAAAGATGACACCAGATATTTTCTTTTATATGTGAAACCGAGATTTAAAATAATGTATGTGTACACACACACACATACATAAATGTGTAATTTACACATGTGTGCATGTATAGGTCATAAGACTAGAAAGCAGATAACAAGAAGGGGAAGAGATATCAAGGGATGGGGAGAAAGAGAGGGTCACAGATAACATGACATGAAGGTGGGGTTGCATGGGAGACAACAGAAGGAAAAGAAGTGGAAGGCTGGTGGGGGAGGGGAATGGATCCAGAGCAGAATGACACATGGGTCTGAAAATGCCATAGCAAAACATACTATCTTCTATAGTAACATTAAAATTAATATAAATAAGTAAATTAAAAAAACATTTGTTTATTATGTATATAGTATTCTGCCTGCAGAATGTATGCATGCCTACACACCAGAAGAGGGCACCAGATCTCATAACAGATGGTTGTGAGCCATCTTGTGGTTGCTGGGAATTGAACTCAGGACCTCTGGAAGAGCAGCCACTGCTCTTAACCTCTGAGCCATCTCTCCAGCCCTGTAAACTTTTATTAAGTTTCGCATTAAATTAAATGTCAAATGTAGGGAGACTCATTCTATTAAAGCTAATCCTGCTATTTTCATAAAAATATTTCCCTCTCAAAGTAAGGAAAAGGAAGAAATCGACTTGCTACAAGTTACATGTAGAAATAAGTAGGAACGTAGACAGAATATTATTTCTCTTTTTGCTGAGGTTCTGAAAAAAACCACATGAGAAATGAAGTTCTAAATGAAAACCTTTGGCCTACGAGCAGGCTTACCTGTATCCCAGCATGGCTACAGAGATAGAAGTCAAATTCATATGGGTGCGTGATGTCGGTGTCAACTGTGGTTCCAGCTGGGATGTTGCCACTTCTCCCAACCTAGATGTTTTTGGATCAAATTTTAAATCAATGAGACAAAAAAATTAAAAAATGTATCAAAGTACATTCAAAACATTCAAATACATAAACTGACCCACATTCTACTACTTTCAGCCTGAAATATTACTCAAGCATCTATTAACTACAGCCCTCACATAGTCTTAGTTCCTAGTTTGTTTTTTAAAGATTTATTTATTTATCATGTATACAGTGTTCTGCCTGTATGTATCCCTGCAGGCCAGAAAAGGGGACCAGATCTCATTACAGATGGTTCTGAGCCACCTGTGGTTGTTGGGAGTTGAACTCAAGACCTCTGGAAGAACAGCTAGCTAGTGCTCTTAACCTCTGAGCCATCTCTCCATCTCCCTCCTAGTTTTTTAAAAATTATTTTATTATTTTGTGTGTATTGGTGTTTGGCTTACATGTACATGTGTATCAGATTCTCTGGGACTGGAGTTACAAATGGTTGTGAGCTACCATGTGGGTGCTGGGAATTGAACCCATGTTAGCTTTAAGAGCAGCCAATGAGAGTCCTGAACTATCATTCCAGATCTCTATTCTTTTCAATTATTGTTTTCAGAGACAGCTTCACATAGTTCAAGCAGGCTTCTTTATTTGCAATATAGGGATGATGATAATAATAATAGACATTATATATAATATATACTATTATACATAATAATAATTGAATAGAGTTTGGGAAGATTAAATCAGTTAAAGTTCTCAGGTTGGGTATACAGCTCAGGGTATACAGCCTGGCATAATGAGGCTCTGTGTATGATTTCCAGCACCACAAAAAGAAAGGGAGGAGGGGAAGGAAGAAGGGATAGAGATAGGATAGGAGGGAGGGAAGAAGGGGCAGGGAGGAAAGAGAGAAAGGGAAAGGGAGGGACAGATGTAGAATCCTGATGGCTTATAACAATATTATGACAGACATAAAATTACCCTTTCTGTTCTGTCAGCACAAAACAATCGTGTGTGATGTCTCTTCTGAACTACAATGTAGGTTATTCCAGGTTGATAGTCTTTCTCCAAACTGATACAGGCTTCTCGAATTGCTAGTAACTCATAGTATAATACCTAGAGAAGATACAACAGAAAGAGTAAATATAGCTAATTTTCTTTTACTTATTTCAAAGTAAGATAATGGTGTGAAGTAATAAGGGCAGCGGCGGGGCTGCGTCCCCAACACCGCGCCTCAGAGAGAGACGCCATGCCCCGCTCCCGGGATGAAGCTCCGACCCAGGATGGACATAGGCTAGAATCTTCCTGGTAAGCGCACCTTGGGGTGCCATATACAGATGATTAGAAATGGGCTAAATTAATATGTGAGAATTAGCCTAGAAGAGAATGGGCCAAGCGGTGTTTAAAAGAATACAGTGTCCATGTAATTATTTCGGGGCATAAGCTAGCCGGGCAGGGGCTGGGGTGTTGGGGACGCAGCCCCGCCGCTGCCCTTATTTACTTCAATGGTGTAACTTCATGACTTCTTTTATTTTTAAAGATCAACTTTCATTCATTCATTTAGTTTTTGGTTTTTTCAAGACAAGGTTTCTCTGTATAATCCTGGCTATCCTGGAATTCATTCTGTAGATCAGGCTGGCTTCAAACTCAGATACACCTGCCTTTGCCACTGGAGGGTTGGGATAAAAGGCGTGCACCATCACTGCCTGGCTAGATCAATTATATTTTAAGTCATGTGACTGTGTCTGAGTGTGAATATATGCACATGACTACAGGTGCCCTGGATGCTAACAGAGGGCATCAAATCCCCTGAGGCCATCTGATGTGGGTGCTAGGAACCCAACTCTGGTCCTCTGCAAGAGCAGCAAGCACTCTTACCCACTAAGGCGCCTCTCCAGCCCTGTCTCAGGCTTTCTTAACATCACTTCCTTCAATATGCTTCTGCATTTCACTTTAACTACGAGCAGAGCAATGAAGGCTCACATATTTACAGGAACATTTTTTTTTTGTTTTGTTTTGTTTTTCAAGACAGGGTTTCTCTGTGTAGCTTTTTATTTATTTATTTATTTATTTATTTTTTTTAATAATTTTTTTTATTAAGAAAAGAAGAAAAAAAACATAAACAAAAAACAAGTTTCCACCTCCTCCCAGCCTCCCATTTCCCTCCCCCTCCTCCCACCCTTCTCCCCCTCCTCCCACCCTTCTACCCCTCCCCCCACTCCTCTCCCCCTCCCTCTCCAGTCCACAGAGCAGTCCAGGTTCCCTGCCCTGTGGTAAGTCCTAGGTCCTCCCCGCTCCGTCCATATCTAGGAAGGTGAACATCCAAACTGGCTAGGCTTCCACAAAGCCAGCACATTAAGTAGGATCAAAACCCCGTGCCATTGTCCTTGGCGTCTCATCAGCCCTCATTGTTCGCCTCGCTCATAATTGGTTTCTAGCCATAAATTAGGGCCACGGAGTCTACAATAGGTGAACCTAAAGAAGCTAAGTAAGAAGGTGAACCCAAGGAAAAACATATAGTTATCCTCTTGGCTAAGGGAAGTAGACCCAATTGCCGGGGAGAAAATTAGGATCTTGGGGGTGGGGTGGGATGGGGGTAAGGGGAGATGGGGAGAGAAAAGGTAGTAGGGAAGGAGGGGGGATTTGGGGAATCAGGAGAATTGGGATAAAGGAAAGGTGGATAGGGGAGCACGGAACCACAATTCTTAGTTAAGGGAACCACTTTAGGGTGAGCAAGAGATTTGACCCTAGAGGGGCTCTCTGTGTAGCTTTTGGAGCCTGTCCTGGAACTTGCTCTGTAGACCAGGCTGGCCTCGAATATCTGCCTGCCTCTGCCTCTTGAGTGCTGGGATTAAAGATGTGCGCCACCACTGCCAGGCTCCATAGGAACATTTTAAAGAGGAAACTCTACAGAAGCATCAGTTCTGATTTTGTGAACTTTTAATTTCAGGTGTTCACCTTTAGAACTGGACACACCATCATAAACATAGCATTTGGTTTATTTATGGTCTAAATATATTCAAGGCAACCAACCTGTCTAAACTGCCCTTCTGAAACACCATCCCGATAAAAGATAATGCGAGTAGGTTTGAATCGGGTTGACTTATAAAACTGGATGAGCAGTTCCCGGACCATGGAGGCCAAGTCCTGGATGATCTCCTGCCGAGGTCTCTGAACTCTTACTGTGGCACAGTATCTGCTTGGATGGGCGTCCATGCTACCTACAACCTGGTTGGAAAAAGTGAGAAAAAAATTAGTAATCAAAACAAGACTATCTTCATTTACATCTGTATTTTACTTTAGTCTTACTGTTTCTCATAATTTACTTTGAAAGTAACAAAAATCAGACAACTCTCAGCAAAGAGAAAAGCCTAGAATAGTGTCAAAAGCAATTGGACAGCATTTTTTCTTTCTCCATTTTCAGGTGTGTAATGTGCATGTGTGTATATCCACATTTTGCATGTGTTTGGGCCCACACATACATGCTTCCCCTATATGTGAGTGTGTGCATATGGAGAGGCAGAAGTTGCATAGTTATCGAAATAACAAGCAGGCAAATGACAAAGGTTATAGGAGAACTAAGGGAGTTAACAGATTTAATAGGTGTGTTATATGGAAGTTGTACCTCCAAACCAGAATGATCGATCTTGGCAAAACTCTTAAACCCAAAGGGCAATAATGAAAGTTGATTATAAGGAAATCATTAAAGAACTGCAAAGATTAAACACTAACCCCCACCCCAAAACAAAATACAAGTCAGGAGCTGGAGAGATGGCTCAGCAGTTGAGAGCATTGGCTGCTCATGCAGAAGAACCTGGTTCAGTTCCAAGCGCCCACATGGTGGCTCACAATGTTAACTCCAATTTCAATTGGAGGGGATCCAGTGCCCTCTAGCCTCCATGGGTACTTCCCACATGTGCTTCACAGACACACATGCAGGTAAAACACTTATGCACATAAAATAAAAATGAAATCTTAAAAGAGAAAACCCAAATCATCCAAGCAATGAATGGGCTAAGTAAACAGACATTTCTGAAAAGAAGAAACACAGGGCCAGAGAGAGCTCAGCAGGTGAAGGCCAGGCAGCCAAGCCCGTCAGCCTGGATTGGATCTCTGGGATCCACTTGGTAGAAGGAGAATTAACCCCTCAGTCGTCCTCTGTCTCCACGTGTGCCGTAGCATGAATGTATACCTCTCCCCACAAATAAATGCAATAATAAAGAAGGGACACAAATAACCAATAAGCAAACGTGGAAAGGGTTCAATATCCTTAACCTTAAGGGAAATGAGACTAAAAAGCGCTGTGATTCCATCTCACCCAGTCAGAATGGCTGCCACCAACACAGAAATGACGACAAATGCTGGCTAGAACGTGCCAAAGGAGGAACTTACTTGTCTTTGGTGGGAATGTACACTTGGGCAGCCACAAGTGAAATTAGTTGACGGGTTTTTCAAAGTACTGAAGACAGAACTATCATAGACTTAGTGATACCAGCCTTGGGTACACACCTGAAGAACTTAAAGGCCACACAGACCACACAGATACTTGTGCTTCCAGGTTTATGGCTGCAGTATTCACAACAGCTAGGAAACCACACCAGTTTAGACGTCTACTAGCAGAAAATGTGGGCCAGTAATCTGGGTTAGGGTGGACGCCAGGGATGGAACTCAGATCATCAGACTTGGTGGAAGGGGACAGCCAACTTCTGCGAGTTATCTTCTGACTTCTGAACCCCACACAGATGTCCCCAATAGATAGATAAATAAATAAATGTACTAAAAATAAAATGTGGTACATGTACACACAATGGACCTCTATGCAGCTATAAAGAAAAATTAAATTGTGATGCTCAGGAAGATGGATACAATGGAAATCATTACGTTAAGTAAAACAAGCGAGTCTCAGAAAGTCTGAGACCACATGAGTTCTCTCTCATACACAGAACCTAAATTTTAAATCTTATTTTATATATATTTCATATACACAAGGCCACTAACTGGGAGAATGCAGGGCCCAGCTAGAGAGGGGAGGGGTACTGCCGAGGGCAACGAAGGACGAAAGTGACTGAGAACAAGAATACTGGCACATAGGTTATGTAGAAGCAATGGAGAAATTCTTGGTATGCTAACCCAAAAAATTAATAAAAAAGAAAATATCAAATATCAAATTTTGAAATGTGGAAACCAAAGCATTGCTATTAGTGTGGACTAAGATATGGCAGACTGGTTTGGGGAACTCACAGCAGCGATGGAGGGCTTCTTCCCATCCCCAGCAGGTGGGTGAGTGACATCTGCGCCCAGGAAGATCACTGGTTGCTGGAACACAGAAGGTCTTAAACACAGTTTTTAAAGGGTTAGACAGTTCATTTGTTTCGTCTGTTTCACATGATGCAATGTAGCTGCAAGCCACTGACAGTCCAGGGACGACCTCTACCGCCATAGACAGCTTCACAGACACGAACCATTGCGAATCTTTTTCTTTTGCTTGTTTGTTTTTCAAGACAGGGCTACTCTGTGTAGCCCTGGTCGTCTTGGAATTCACTCTGTAGACCAGGCTGGCCCTAAATTCAGATCTGCCTGTCTCTGCGTCCCAAGTCCTGCGATTAACGGCATGTACTACCATACATGGCCTGACAAACTCTTAATTCATGAATCTCTAGTCTGTTACATCTCTGTGATGTTTTGTGAGAACTTTCATGTTTTAAACAGTGGTATTGGGTTGCAAAGGACAACTGATAATAATATTCTATGTAATGGGGACAAAATGGTATATTTCTTCATAGTATATCATTAAATTTTATTAATCTAAAAAATCTACTTAGATTTTAAGTCTATGAGGCTTAAGGACAAAATGGATCAGCAAGCCTTTGACTTTTAGTTTCAGTCTAGTTTACACTTTTAGGCAGGGATTATAGGCGTCTACTATTTCCTGGCCCAAAGAATAAAATTTGAATATATATTTAATAATCATAAAGTCCTATCTTTGCCTTGTATTTTAAAAGTTCATCCTTTAAAATTGAAAAGACTGGGGCTGAGAGATAGCTCAGCAGTTGCTTACCCAGAGAACTGGAGTTTAATGCTCAACACCCACATGGTGGCTCAAAACTCCCTGTAATTCCATTCCTGGGGGACTCAACACCTCTCCTTGGCCTCCATAGGCACTGCACATACATATGCACAGAGACTCATATAAAATAAAGGTTAAAAATAGTTTTAAGAGATATTGACTATTTCTTAGTTCTTGAACATGTTGGCTAAATTCTCTATTTATGAATTCTTGAACACATTGGTTAAATTCTTCACCTCATTTATGACCTCACCTCCTGCTTAACAAGACAGAATCTCATTATAGCTGTCCTGGACTCTGTAGACCAGGCTGGTCTCAAACTCACAGAAATCTGCCTGCCTCTGCCTCCTGAGGGCTGGAATTAAAGGCGTGTGTTTAACCAATGAGTTATGTCTCCAGCTCCAACAATCTCTTACCCTTGTTAAATCATCTATGTAGTTCACAGGAGAGTCACTAAGGGTACTTCTAATATCTGACAGCAGTTAGGCCTACGTAGAAAAACAGATAGTGAAATAGAATAGCTTACCTTTGATGAGGTACAAGAATATTATTGATTCCTCCAAGCTTAACATTGATTTTTAGGCACAAGTTTGAGAGAGTCTGAGGAGACGTTTTGATCACATTCTTGACTTGCACACACTGTGTAGCCATCCCCAAAAGTGTGTCTCCTACACGTTTCACCTCCGCTACAGAACAAAGGCAAGGAACCCGGTCAGAAAAGGAGGCACCTGAAATTAGACCAATACTGAAACAATGCTATTAAAATGCATGGAAATTTTAAGCAGACCAAAAAACAAAGGGGGGGGGGGAATTTTAAGCAGTGACTTAGAATTCTTCTATTGGCTTATTTTTTGCATATGAAAAGTATATCTAAAAGCTTATACTTTTAGCCAGGCATGGTGGCTCACACCTTTAATCCCAGCACTCAGGAGGCAGAGGCAGGTGGATCTCTGAGTTTGAGGCCATCCTGGACTACAGAGTAAGTTCCAGGATAGCCAGGGATAACCAGAGAAACTCTGTCTTGAAAAAAATAAAAAATTACACTGTTTTTATTTCATTATCTCTCTCTCTCTTGTGTGTATGAACGTGTGTATAATGTGTGTGATGTGTGCACATGTAGAGGTCAGGGGACAACTCTGAGGGTTGGTTCTCCTCTGCCAACTTTACATGGGCGCTAGGGATCACATTCAGGCTTGCATGGCAAGTGCGTCTACCTGCTGAGCTACCTTGACAACACAGAAAAGTATATTTTTAAAACTGAAGGAAAAGAGAAAATACTTCTCTCAATTTTAAAGGATCAGTAAGTTGAAGATAATAAAGATGCAGAGAAGGGGGTGGCTCCAGGAGGATCTGGAATATACTGTATGCATGTATTAAATTATGAAAGAGTAAATTAAAGTACAATATTTAAAAAGATGCAGAGGAACTCTGTAGCTAAGAACTAGAACCAGTCTTACAGAGAACCTGAGTCTGGGTTCTATCATTCCCATCAGGAGGCTTGCGACAACTATAATTCAGCTCCAGGAAACTGTACACCTCTGGACTCCATGGATACCAGTAGTTACATGAATACAGCCACACAGACACTCATACATCACAAGATTTAAAATAAAATAAAATCAAAATTTTTAATTAAGAAAAATTATGTGTATGCTGTTTTGCTTACACATCTGTCTGTGTATATGTCTGATGCTTGAGAAGGCCAGAAGAAGGGCATCATATCCCATGGAACTGGAGTTACAGATGGTTGAGAGTCACATGTGGGTGCTGAAAGTTGATCCCAGATCCTCTGCAGAGAAGCCAGTGCTCTGAATTTCTTTCTTTCTTTCTTTCTTTTTTTTTTTTTTTTAATTTTTCGAGACAGGGTTTCTCCGTAGCTTTTTTTTTTTTTTTAAGATTTATTTATTTATTATGTATACAACATTCCTTCCCTGTATGCTTGCATGCCAGAAGAGGGCACCAGATCTCATTAAAGATAGCTGTGAGCCACCATGTGGTTGCTGGGAATTGAACTCAGGACCTCTGTAAGAGCAGTTAGTGATCTTAACCTCTGAGCCATCTCTCCAGCCCTCTCCGTAGCTTTTTGGTTCCTGTCCTGGAACTAGCTCTTGTAGACCACCAGGCTGGCCTCGAACTCCCAGAGATCTGCCTGCCTCTGCCTCCTGAGTGCTGGGATTAAAGGCGTGTGCTACCACCTCTGAGACAAATATCTTTTAGAGGCAGGCGGGTTTACAAAGATAAATGATCTGTTTATCCTCCTCCACTCCTGTCTGTCTCAGCTGTGAGAAGACTATCCTCTAGTCGTGCTTTCCATATCCTAACTGCTAGTGTCCTAATTTTTGTGGCTCTTTTTATTTCTCAAAATTTACTGCCCTTTGATTTATTATAAGCTAGACTCCTAAACCATCGCTTTGAGCCACTTTTCTCATATATGACATGTACTGCACACACTAATAAACAGACTGTTGTTCCCCTGTTAGTCTGTCTTTTGTTTGAGCAATTTGTCATAATTATGGCTATTTTTATGATGAAGGAAAGGAAAAATTATAACTATAAAAAATTATAAAGGAAAAATTTATAGAAAATAGCATATATAATCCCTTATCATCATTTTATTATTTCTTTTTCTGTAATTTTCTCACTTACTTTAATGCACTTGTAGTCACAATATTCTTGTGGCTTTCAATTCTATTTTTCAATATGCAAATAAATAGTATTATATTCACATCAGGAAATATTAATTCAAGAAATAAATGACCTATCATTCCCTAAGAAAATGTGAAGGAACCTTACATGTATGTTGATAAGTGAAAGAAGCATATTAGAAAGACTGCATAGCCTGGTGGACATTGGTGGCGCACACCTTTCATCCCAACACTTGGGGAGGCAGAAACAGGCAGATCTCTTTGAGTTGAGACAAGCCTGGTCTATAGAGCGAGGTCCAGGACAACCAGGGCTACTCAGAGAAACCCTGTCTCAAAAAACCAACCAACCAACCAACCAACCAACCAACCAACCAACCAACCAATATAAAAAAGGGAGAAAGATAACTCCATACAACTACATACAAAATGACTCCACTTTATGACAATATAGAAAAAGCAAAGCTAGAGAAATAGTAAAAATAAAACAAAAAATTAGTGGTTTCAAGAATTGAGGGAGGGCCAGGCAGTGGTGGCGTATGCCTTTAATCTCAGCACTCAGGAGGCAGAAGCCAGTGGACCTCCATGAGTTCAAGGCCAGCCTGGTCTACAAGAGCTAGTTCCAGGACAGGCTTGAAAGCTACAGAGAAACCCTGTCTTGAAAAACCAGAAGGAAAAAAAGGGAGGGGGGCGGGGAGAAGGAGGAGGAATAGTGAAACTATTCTGTATGGTGCTGTAATAATGGTACATATCTGCCAGACCTATGCTGTGGACTTTAATGTAAACTGTGGGCAATGCATTAATAATAGTCACAATTAATTACTTTTAACAATATGGGTACTGTTGGTTCAGTAAATGTCCTGCATTAAGGAAAAAGGTTAATGGCTGTGTAGGAAAAACTATGCAAAAGGCAGATGACATACGGGAACTCACTAGACTGCTAATTTTTCTGTAAATCTAAGTGATTCTAAGAAAGCATTTCAGTTCCACAGGCGAAGAAAGTAGAGCTTATACAGTTAGGTAATTCAGCCACACCAGAGAGGAAGTACAACTGGCAATATCTGAGCATTGAGCAGAGAGTCTATCTCCAGAGTCTGTGCTTTGATCCTGCTACCTCATCCTGCTACTCAATTACCCCAAGGCTTTCTGACCACACAATTCTTCCCTCAACCTTTGCTTGTGATGTTTCTTTTCGGTACTAAAATTCACTTCTCAGAGTCTCTTTCTGTGCTATTTAGTTTACAGGCTTTGCATTAAGGTAATACGTGGTTTTAAATACAATGGTATAAATATATTTTAGCAGCTGGAGAGATGGCTCAGTGGTTAAGAGCACTGGCTGCTCTTCCAGAGGTCCTGAGTTCAATTCCCAGCAACCACACGGTGACTCACAACCATCTGTAATGAGATCTGGCGCCCTCTTCTGGCGTGAAGGCATACATGGAGGCAGAATGTTGTATACATAAATAAATAAATCTTATATATATATATATATATATATATATATATATATATATATTAGCATTTGGAAATGTTAGGCTATCTAATTCTGAAAGCAATGCTAAGCAGGAGAAGGGGGAAATGCAGTAGTTCTGTTGTTGCAGTGCTGAGATCAAACCCAGGTCTGTGTATGTCTTAGGCCAGTGCGCTAGCAATCAGGCCAACTCTCACTCCTGAAAAATGCAGATTTAAAATGTCCTTACCATACACTGGCGTCTTCCCGGGCAGGATGACGATAATGAGCTGCAGTCCTGAGTAGGTGTTCTTGAGATGCCGGAACATGGGCTCCACGCTGTCTGCTCCCTGCGCGTATTTGCAGAAGCAAGGCTGACCCTGGATGGGCATCCCCGCATCCTTGGAAATCTTCCGCAGCTGGTCCGTGAAACCTCTAAAGAAGGTAAAACCACTAAATATACTTTATCTTTTGTATGTGTAGTATTAAGGATTGGACCCATGATCTGTGTGTGTTTATGCTGCACTGAACTGTATCTCCAGCTCCAAACCGACCACATAATAATGAAAAGTTTAAAGAAAGAAATGGAAGCTGGGCATGGTGGCCCACACCTTTAATTTCAGCACTTGGGAGGCAGAGGCAGTGAGTTCAAGGCCAGCCTCCTCTGCAAGGCGAATCCAGGACAGCCAAGACTTCCAGGAAGGGAAGGGAGGGAGGGAGGGAGGGAAGGAAGAAGGGAAGAAGGGAGGGAGGATGAAGCATAGACTATTTTGTATGCCTGTTCCATATGCAAAAGGTTACTAGATTACTAATGTTAAAGGCAACAGAGGGACCAGACACCTGTAGAAACCTCCCTCAATCCTTTGTGGCTATGCACAGTCCCTAGTGGGGTTGAGGAGAAAGCCTGGTTGGTAAAAGCTTTGTTGTGCATGTCTGTACTGTTGGCACTGGGGAAGCAAAGAAGGGAGGCTCCCTGCGGTTTGATGGACAGCCAGTCTAACTGAATTAATGAATTCCAGATTCAAGAAGGTAGAAGGCGATTGAGGGACACTCCTAAAATCAACGTCTGGCATCAACATGTACATACATATCTGCACACGGGCACCTAATACATGTATACCCATATATACGCACATACAAGATCCCCATTGGAACTGAGGATGTTACTAGACCCTATAATTTAATACATTTTTGATCTTAACCAATGGGCATAATTTTGAAGTCTCAAGTATAACAAATAAATTTACACAAATCTATTTCATTGTAATTTCTTTCTTTTTTTCCTTTTTCCTTTTTTTTTTTATGAAACAGGGTTTTTCTGTGTAGCCCTGGTTGTCCTGGAACTTGCTATATAGACCAGGCTGGCCTTGAACTTTGAGATCCACCTGCCTTTGCTTCCTGAGTGTTGGGATTAAAGGTGTGCGCCACAGCACCAGGCCTTATAATTTCAAGAATAAAAATACTCATTCTTAACGTATATATATATATTTTTTTAACATATATTTTTGATTTTTTTTTTCGAGACAGGGTTTCTCTGTGGCTTTGGAGCCTGTCCTGGAACTCGCTCTGTAGACCAGGCTGGTCTCGAACTCACAGAGATCCGCCTGCCTCTGCCTCCCGAGTGCTGGGATTAAAGGCGTGCGCCACCATCGCCCGGCCATATATTTTTGAAACTTCAGCATGAACTTATCCTTTCCTTATCAAGTTTTGTCTTTTCACTTAAATAATCCAGTGAGTTCTAGGCCAAAGAGGCCCTGGTCAAAATGGAAGTAGATAATGCCTGATGAATGACATCTTGGCTAACCTCTGGCCTCTATATGTACAAACAATGCACGCACGCACACACACACACACACACACACACACACACACACTAATTTTGAGACTTGGTCTTGCTAGCTTATTATTCTCCTGCCTCAGCTTCCCATGTAACTGGAATGATAGGTGATCCCAGCCGCATGAAAGAAACAGTTTTAAAAGTTTACTGGTTAAATATCTCCATACAGAGGTGACATTGGTTAGAGCATGATATGAATAATTTAAAGTTGGAACTCAGGGCAAGGGGTGGAGTTCAGCGGTACAGCCCATTGGATACACAAGGCTCTGGGTTCACCCCTGATACAGCCCATTGGATGTACAAGGCCCTGGGTTCACCCCCGAAAAAGCCCATTGGATATACAAGGCTCTGGGTTCACTCCACATATAGCCCATTAGATATATAAGGCTCTGGGCTCACCCCCCCCCCAGTACAGCCCATTGGATATACAAGGCCCTGGGTTCACCCCCGATAAAGCCCATTGGATATACAAGGCTCTGGGCTCACCCCCAGTACAGCCCATTGGATATACAAGGCTCTGGGTTCACCCCCAGTACAGCCCATTGGATATATAAGGCTCTGGGCTCACCCCCGATAAAGCCCATTGGATATACAAGGCCCTGGGTTCACCCCTGATAAAGTCCATTGGATATACAAGGCTCTGGGCTCACCCCCAGTACAGCCCATTGGATATACAAGGCTCTGGGTTCATCCCTGTACCACCAAAAAATAAAAATTAATTTTTTTTTAAATTCCAGACACCAAAGGTCTCCAGAGCAAACCAAGGTGGCAGCTTACTTCAGGATCTCCTCTCTGCACTGCCTCTGTGTGGCAAAACAAGCTATGGCCCACATTTTGATTTCAACTCCTGTATGGAACTGTTTTCCTCGCATGTCCCACACACCGTGGCTTGGTGTTGCCACTGTCCGGTTCTGTAAGACAAATAACACAACAGAAAAACAAGAGCTTTACCAGACAATGCATCCCAGTGAGCTCAAGTAAGCGTTTCAAATCGCTGAACTGCTAACATCCTTAATACTCTATGTGAAGTTGATTTTTCTAAATCGATATTATTTCCAGCAAGGTAGTTCAGCAAGTAAAGGCAGCTGTGGTCCCCAAGCCTGATGACCTGCCTTTGACATATCTGCCACACACAAGAACTCATATGGTGGAAGGAGAGGACCCAACTTCCTCAATCACCCTGACTTCCACATGTGCGCCACCCCCACAATAAATAAGTAAATGTAAAAAATTATGCCAAACTCAAGTGAAGAAGTAACACACCTAACGTATTGTTGGAACAATAAAATAAAATAATAGGTTCAAGACTTAGAGACCATTCTCCCTATACTTAGCAAATTACACATGCATGGTTAAAATGCTGCTGATAGACTTTACCCGTCCTCCATACTGCAGCATAGGTGCCGGAAGTACACGTCCGGTTACGTGGGCCATTTCATCCCGGACTTTAAATTGGAACTCCTGAACGAATGGATCTGTTTCATAATTTGCACTTCTTACCTAACAACAGAAAAGGTTTGTCATTATTCTCAGTCTGTCCCTGACCCGCTTGCCTTACTTGCTAGGACCTCCACTTTTTATTTCACTATGGCAACCATATACTTTGTCATTAGAATCAATGGAGCCCTGGCTCTAAAGCAGAGAATACGATCCTGCAGACTGTGAGTCAGGGACTGTGGGAAGTCTATGAACACCTTGGTAATTATTCAAAACTGAAATGTATATATTAGGTTGAATAATACACTTAACTATTTGACCCATGAAAATGATAATTTTAAATAATTAAGCTATTTCAGGAGAGAGAGAAAACACCTATCTAAAATGGGATAGACCCTCTGATTGGCCAGGCAGTGGTGGTGCACTTCTTTAATTCCAGCACTTGGGAGACAGAGGCAGGCAGATTTCTGTGAGTTGGAGGCCAGCCTGGTTTACAGGGCTAGTTCCAGGACAGCCAGGGATACAAAGAGAAACCTTGTCTTGAAAAACAAAATAAAACAAAACAAAAAAATAAAAAACCCAAATCAAACCAAACCAAAACCCAAACCAAAAATCCTCTATGATTGGATGGGCACAGTTTAATTAGTCAAAATAAAAACAGACAGAAAGTCAGCATCAGTTATAGGTTATTTTTTTGTTTTTTTGAGAGATTATAAATTTTACATAACATATTCGTGCATATATTCAAAGAAAGAATAGGTGGTTGTCCAGCGTTGTATCTTACTCTAAGGTATGCTATTAGCTATTTTTCAAAGCATACTTACTTGTCCTCAAGACAATTTACAAGGAGAAGGCAGTGTCAAGTCTGGGTAAAAAGTGTATTTAGGAAATTATATAATCTAAATACTTAAACACAATCTTCCTACAATAAGTAGGAAAAACCACTTTCTAAATTAGGTGGTAATGAATTTTTTTCTTCAAGCCTGTCAACCACTTTTGGTGTCTGCTAGTGTCTCTGTATAAAGAAGACCAAATAGCATTTATGAAGATTGACTATATGGCAGGCTTGGTGATAAGTGCCTAACCATTTTTTCACAACTGCCTTATGATACATATAGTTTTTAGATTTTTTGCTTTATTTTTGTTTTCTTGGTTTTTTTTTGGTGTGCTTTTCCCCCCTCCCCCAAGACAGGGTTTCTCTGTGTAGCCTTGGCTGCCCTGGAATTAACTATGGAGACCAGCCTGGACTCGAGCTCAGAGATCCACCTACCTCTGCTTCCTGAATGCTGGGATTAAAGGTGGACATGCCACCACTGCCCAGTCACATAGATATTTATTACTATTATTACATTTATACTTTTATGTACGAGTGCTCTGTATGCCAGAAAAGGGCATCAGATTCTATTATAGATGATTATGAGTCACCATGTGGTTGCTGGGAATTGAACTTGGGATCTCTGGAAGAGCAGTCAGCGTTTTTAACCACTGAGCCATCTCTCCAGCGTGCATAGATCTTTTATAATCTGTATTTTACAGAGACACAAATAATGGTAGTCAGGTTAAAAAACTAGGTGCTATAAATGACACCCAATAACAGTAAGAGGAAACAAGACTTCAAACCCAAGCCTGTTCTTTTAACCACTGGATGATACTGAACAGTTGAGCTGTAATGAATGAGTTAGGATTGTTAGTTACAATTTTTATAGACAGAGGTGTCACTGTCTCTTTCAAGCTTTAGAAGACTTTTAACAATGTATTATCATACAATTAGACAAAAATCTAGGGTGAGACTCACCCTTTATTTTCCTAAGTAGATAGGATGTAACAACTACCCTTCACCCTTTATAGAATTATAAAGCAAAGGGGAATTTTTGTTAGCTTACGAAGTGGAGACTTTTTTGTGTCTGCATGAATGGCCGATATATGAGCATTCTGTGCATGCTTGGAGTCTGCAGGGGCCAGAAGAGTGTTGGATCCCTGGAACTGGATTTACAGGCAATTATGAGCCACCCTGTGGGTGCTGGGAAACAAACGTAATCCTCTAAAACATCAGCAAGTGATTAACCGCGGGGCCATCTCTCCAGTCCTGAGAGAATTTCTGATCTGTTTTTTGGTTTGTTTGTTTTTTTTGAGAATGATCACATTTATTTGGGACATTTGCTATAGCATCTGAAACCAGTTTTCCCCTCTTATGTAATTATTATAGCTAAGACCACATGCAGTTGGGCAGATGGGAACTTTTGAATGGAATCTTGGAGGTCCTTCCATGCCCCTCGTACCACTACCACTGGCCTGTCGGTCAGTCCTTACTACACTCATTTTGGAAAGATATAGCTCACAATTTAAGACTTGGGCTTCTAGAATCAGAAATGTGGAACATCCCAGAACCTGGATTCCCCAAACAGAAGCCTGTGCAAGGGTTTCAGTAGGTTCTTGGTCAGGTAGCAGTGGACACACCTGTGAGCCCATGACCTTGAGGTGTATCTGCTCTGTCCTGGCACAGCTGGGCATTCTGCCCAAGGCTCACACGACAAGCAGCTTTAGCCACTCATCTTCCTGAAACCCCCTCTGTGCACATCAGCCTCCCTTCTACCTCAGTGAGCATGTGCAAGGCCATCGGATGCCCCAGGCCAGCCAGCAACTAGGACAGAGGGGATCCCACAGGGGGCTTCAGTGAATGTCAGGCTGCTAGTCCCTCAGATGTTCACAGTTCAGAACACTGAGCACAGACATAGCCTCTCTCCTCTCTGCCATCTACTGAAGCACATGGAACAGTATCTGTAAAGTCTCTAGGAACGGGGTGTGCTGGATAGGTTTCTGCCAACTTGACAAAAACTAGAGTTATCTGAAAGGAGGGAATTGCAATTACTTCTATAAGATTGGGCTATAGGGCATTTTCTTAGTGATTGATGAAGGAGGGCTCAGCCTGTTGTGGGTGGTGCCATCCCTGGTGGTCCTGGGTTCTATAAGAAAGCAGGCTGAGCAAGCTATAGGGAGCAAGTCAGTAGGCAGCACCCCTCCATGGCCTCTGCACAGGTTCTTGCACACAGGTTTGAGTTCCTATCCTGACTCCTTTGACGATGGACAATGATATGAAATAAACTCTTTGCCCCTCCCAAGTTGCTTTTGGTCATAGTGTTTCATCACAGCAATAAGATACAGTGTTTGTCTTTCACTCTTATGTAGCTAAGGCTGATCTTAAACTCAAACTTGTTATATGGCTGAAACTGGTCATGAACTAATCTTCGTTTCTGCTTCCTGAGTACTGAGACTGCAGGTATGTGCTACCACAATAGTTCCATATGATGCTGGGGATTGAAACCACGGCCTTTTGTGTGCTAGGCAACACTTAGTCCCTCAACTGTGCATTTGATAAATAATTATCAAACTATTTTCAATTTTTGGTTAATAAAACAACAGAAACTGTTTTAAAAAACAAAATATGTAAAGTAGTATTAAAACCTGAGCAAATGCTAGGTGTGGTGTTGCATGACTTTAATCCCAGCACTTGGAGGCAGAGGTAGGTGGATCTCTGTGAGTTTGAGGCCAGCCTGATCTACAGAGTGAGTTCTAGGAAAGCCAGGGCTGTTACATAGAGAGACTCTGTCTTGACAAACAAACAAACAAACAAACCCCCCAAAAAAGCTTCTGAAAGTGCCAGTCAATTGTTTTGGGAAATATATTAATTTTTATTGATTCCCCCTTGTTTGATTAGACAGTTTAAATGATATTCAGGGGAGAGTAACACAAGATCCAGGTATTCCTTAAAAACAAAACAAAACCAAAAACTTCACCCCATTTTGAGTATTCTATCAGTTAATTTAAAAAATATTTTCATTTGTGTGTGTGTGTGTGTGTGTGTGTGTGTGTGTGTATGCTCAGTGTGTATGCGGGTGCCCATGCAGTCTAGAAGAGAGTGGTAGATTTCCTATACTAGAACCACAGACACCTGTGAGCCTCTGATGCATGCCCTCTCCCAAAGCAGCATGTGTTCTTAACTACCGTGCCGTCACTCCAGCCTCAATCTATTTATTTACTTCTATTTAGCTTTTAGAAATGAACAGGTAATATTGTATATTTTTAACTTTAAAATATTTTATCATAAAAGTAATGCAGGATCTTCATAGAAAAATCGGAAGGAAGATGGCTTGGTGGGCACAGTGCCTGCCCCAAGCTTGATGATCCGAGTTCAACACCTGCTCCCCAGGGCCCCCATGAAGGAAGAAGAGAAATGACTCCAGCAAGTTGTGCTCAGACCTTCCCAGCTGTGCTGTGGCACATGCATGCTCTCTCACACACACATGTACACAAAAATAATAAATCACAATTAAAAAAAGAAAAAGAAAATAAGGGGCTGGAGAGATGGCTCAGGGGTTAAGAGCACTGGCTGCTCTTACAGAGGTCCTGACTTAAATTCCTAGCACACACATGGTGGTTCCCAACCATCTATAATAAGATCCAATGCCCTCTTCTGGCAGGCAAGTATACATGCAGAATACTCATAAAACATAAATAAACAGGATTAAAAAAAGAAAAGAAGTCAGGTGGTCGTGGCATACACCTTCAATCCCAGCACTAGGATGTAGAGGCAGGTGAATCTCTGAGTTGAAGGATAGCCTGATCTACAGAGTGAGTTCCAAGACAGCCAGAAAGAAAGATTGTAATTCTATTACCCTGAAACATCATTTTAAAGATGTTGATACAAGTCTACCTCATCATTTCCAAGGCCCTATATACTAATATAATTTTTATGTAATGTGTAACAAGCATTTTCTAGTTGCTGCAATCTCTTAATGATAGTAATTTTATTAATTTTATCTGTTGTGTGAATACATAACAGGAGCCTAGAACTGGGAAGTGGTAAGTCCCAGAATGAATCAGCAGTTAGTCAGCTGTGTAGTTCTGGCTATCCTGGAAGTAGCTCTGTAGACCAGGCTGGTCACAAACTAACTCACAGAGGCCTGCCTCTGCCTCCCAAGTCCTGGGAGCCACCACACCTGCTCCATGATCCTTTTTAATCCTGTCACTTCATAAAATGGCAATATGGCATCAGCTGGTAAGGACATGGTTTTTGAGTAGCTCACCCTAATTACACTTTAAATTCCTATTTCTAGAGTTATGTACTAACCAATCTGCTAATTTCCTCTTGTCTATCTGGTGCAGATCTTGCTGTTGCCTTAATCATAGTAGAAGTCTGATTGTCGGTTAGTTTCTTGATACATCGTTGCCCAGCCACAATATTACAGACCTAGAAATAGAACAATTCATACAATGCATATATTTGTGTTAGAATTCACTCACTCAATGCCAATCATGTTAAATATAATTTTAAAATCTACTTTATTAAACTATTTCTTTTATTCTCATGTTAAATAAAAGATTAAAGAACAAACTACACACGATCATGCAATTATAATTAGGTAAAAGGTACACAAAAGGATCAAAAGACTAAAACAAGGGGCTGGAGAGATGGCTCAGAGGTTAAGAGCACTGACTGCTCTTCCAGAGGTCCTGAGTTCAATTCCCAGCAATCACATGATGACTTACAACCATTTGTAATGAGATTTGATGCCCTCTTCTGGTGTGCAGACAGAACACTGTATACATAATAAGTAAATAAATCTTAAAAAAAAAAGACTGAAAGAAGCATAGCAAAAACGCTAACTGGTAGAACTATAGGTGAGCTTTCTTCATACTGTGTTGGCTAGTTTTATGTCAACTTTACACAAGCTAGAGTCATCGCAGGGGAAGGAACCTCCATTAAGAAAATGCCTCCATAAGATCAGGCTGTAGGCAGAGCTGTAAGGCATTTTCTTAATTAGTGACTGACGAGGGGGCACCCAGTCCGTTGTGAGTGGTGCCATCCTTGGGCTGATGGTCCAGGGTTCTATTAAGAAAGCAGGCTGAGCAAGCCATAGGGAGCAAGCCAGTAAGCAGCACCCCTCCATGGTCTCTGCATCTGCTCCAGCCTCCAGGATCCTTGAGCTCCTGTCCTGACTCCCTTTGATGATGAACAGCCATGTGAAGGTATAAGCCAAGCAAACCCTTGCCCCCCCCCAAGCTGCTGCCAGTTGTGATGTTTCATCGCAGCAACAGACACTCTGACTAAGATACATGCTACTTTATTTACTGAAATTTTAGAAAAAAAAAGTCAGAATTAAAAATTGTTCAAATCCCAAACAAATGAGAGACTCAGAGACATCACAGGCCATAAAAGACCCTAGAAGCGTGGTGAACAGAGCCAGGTCTGTGGGTCAAGTGCTTGCTGCATAGGGACCGAGTTCAGATCCCTAGCACCAATGTGAATAGGCATGGTGGTGCACGCCTATAACCTCAGAGCTGCGGGAAGAAGGGGAACAGGATCCTGGAGGGTTCTAGAGGAGCCCAGCTCAAATAGTAAGTTCCAGATTCACTGAGAGACCTTGTCTCAACAACTAGATGGATTGCAATACAGGAAGGCTCTTGATGTCCTCCTCTGGCCTATGCGTGCACACACATACACACACACCCCCACACACACTCACACTCACTCACGGCGCGTGCACGTGTGCACACACACACAGAGGACGAACAGAAGTAGCCATAAGCAGTTAAAGACATTACTTCCAGCGGCAGGTACGTATGCTTCTGCTCCTGCCCCACTTGCAGACAGGGAAGGTGGGGGTACTTCAGCTGAAGAGAGTACTTTTCTCTGAAATACTGTGCTACAGTTCTCTCCACAGTCTGGCCGTTTTCTAACTGCAAAGGAAAGCTGGAAAAAAGAAGAGCTGACATGAGCAACCCTTATCCTCTTGTGAGCTAGCAAACTACCCACCCCTTACTTAGAGTGAGCTGCCTCATATGGCTGTGTGGGAGACACCTGCTTTTCTTACGTTTGATGGCTGGCGGGCCTTCTTGTTACATTACAAACACGGTATTTCCGTCTCATTGTTCCACAATGAGTCACTTCAACCTTCAGACCTGTTCCCAACAAGAAAAATGAAGGTTACAGAAAGTTCAGGAAAAAAACTTACCCAGGTTGTTCACTACTATAAAAAAATCTCAGTTCTGAGCTGGCAGAAAAATCTGTGTCACATGCAATGTGATGCTAAGATGTTTTAAATATGACATTGCTAATAATCGTTCTAATAATGACTGACCTTTCAATGTCAACTACTTTTCTTTTTTATTAAGCATTTTAAATTTATTCATTTTTCTTCATTTATTAATTTTTCTTAGCAATAATGGCTACTAGAATGGAAGCTAAATAATTCTTAATTCTCAGAAATATTTATTTATTTATTTATTTAGTGTGTGTGTATGACCATGCACAAATGAACGTAGAGGTCAGAGGACACCTTGTAGGAATTGGTTCTTTTCTTTCACCATGTGGGTTCTAGGGACCAAACTCAGATTGCCAAGCTCGATGGCAAGTGAATCTGACAACTGAGCCATCTTGTCAACCCTCCAAAGAATTCTTTTGTAGTTTTTGAAACAGCAGGGTCTCTCTATGTATCTCTGGCTGTAGTGGAACTTGCTATGTAGACCAGGCTGACCTAGAACTCACAGAAGACCCACCTGCCTTTGTCTCATGAGTGCTGGGACTAAAGGTGTGTGCCACCACCCTGGGGATCCTCCAAGTAATTCTTTTTTATTTATTTATTTGTTTGTTTACTTATTGGTTTTTGGTGACAGGGTTTCTCTGTAGCTTTGGGGCCTGTCTTGGAACTAGTGCTTGTAGACCAGGCTAGCCTTGAATTCACGGAGATCCACCTGCCTCTGCCTCCTGAGTGCTGGGATTAAAGAATTCAATTATTTAATTTTATGTGCATTGGTGTGAGGGTGTCAGATCCCTTGGAACTGGAGTTACAGACAGTTGTAAGCTGCCATGTGGGTGCTGAGAATTGAACCTGAGTCCTCTGGAAGCACAGTCAGTGCTCTTAACCACTAAGCCATCTCTCTGGCCCCCAAATAATTCTTAAAGCAGGTGATATTTACCTTCTTATGGAGTCACTGACCCTTTTGAGAATCTGATGAAAGCAATAAACTCTCAGTAAAATATATACATATAATTTTGCAACTTTTTTTAAAAAATTTATTTCTTTTATATGCATTGGTGTTTTGCCTGCATGTATGTCTGTGTTAGGGTGTCAGATCCTCTGGAACTGGAATTACAAACAGTTGTGATCTGCCATGTGGGTGCTGGGAATTGAACCTGGGTCCTCTGGAAGAGCAGCCATTGCTCCTAACCACTGAACCACTTCTCCAGTATGTAATTTTAAATATTTCTAGGTCTTTGTAGTTCATTTGTGATTCAAGGATTCCAGGCCAATTCTAGAAAGTAAAGAAATGGGCTTTAAATCTTCAGCTGAAGAAAAAAAATATTTTTTCAGGTATTCGGGGCCTTGGGTATACCAGGTAAGGATCCTACCATGAAGCTATATCCTCCCTGGAGCCTTTACAGTTTGTTTTAAGACAGGGTCCGCCTGAGTTGCCACAGTGGTCTTGAATTTATCTACCTTCCTCATTCCCCGGTTGTGTGGGATTACAAGGGTGTGCCTCCATGCCTGACATATCAATTGACAGTCTTCAGGAAGTTTCTTATTTTTATTTATTGGGGGTGGGGGCGGAACAGTAGTCTCTGTGAAGTCCTGGCTGTCCTGGAACTTGCGACCAGGTTACCCTTGAACTCTCAGAGATCCCCCTGCTTCTGCCTTCTAAGTGCTGGGATTAAAGGCGTGTGCCACCATTCCCAGCAGGGTTTTCTTAAGCAGCGCTGAGAAACAGTGTCCTGAGATGACATTTCTGTTTGTGCTAACATGGCAATCATTAGGAATTTGTTACTGATTCCATGAAATCAGCTAATGTGCCTGATAAAGAGAAAGTTTAATTTTAATAAAATTAGTTACACAAACTCCTGGCTGCCATATTAGCCAATGCAGTAGCCCAGGAGTTAACAATACAATATACCATTGAAGGAGTTAACATATAAAAGCTACTCTTCACAGAAAAACACGTCCAAACCTAAACTTTGGCCTGGCTCTGAAGAGTGAGTCTAGAAGGTTACAGAGTCTAGTTTCTGAATAGAAATTATGGTTATTACACTTTAAGCAATTTCACTTTTATATCTGTAATTCCTATGGTGCAGTAATTCTCATCTGAATGTGACTTTGCCCACCTCTGACCCTGGCCATTGAGTAATGCCTGGAGAAGGGGTGCGTGTGCGTGTGCATGTGTGTGTACAAATCCTGGGTCGTGACACACATTAGGCAAGTGCTTCATCATTAAGCTACATTCCCAGCCCCAAGAAGACTTCTGTGACTCTTAAAACTAGGTGATATCACTGGCAGTTGGTGAGTAGGGGCTGGACACTTTCAAATATTCTAGAAAGTGCAGAGTTGCACCTCCCAACTCAGCAAAGAACTATCCAGTACAAAATGAAAGAGAAATCTTAACACAGTGTAATTTGTTTTTTTTTACCTAATTATAGTATCAAATATAAAGTATACTCATAGTAAATGATAATTTTCTTTTGATATATCAGCACAAATTAGGATAGTAAATGGTTTTTCTTTAAAAGTATTCTTAATAAAAAATCAAATCACCGAGAAGTAATTTTTCATTATAGATACATTTCTAAAATTAAGATTTCAAATATTTATTATGTTATGATTAAGGAGGCCAAAAAAATCACAATATGGTTTTTTCCACAATTATGGAAACAGCAATAATATGAAGTAAGCAACATAAAAATATTATGTTTAGGGGGAAAGAATAAAATAAGTTTCTGTTATTTGAACCAGTTAACTATTTTCAAGTTTTCCCCAGGATTTAAAAAATAGAGTTTTATATAAAATATTTTTATATAAATGAGGTTCAACAAGCTCATCAAACAAGTTTTTACTGAAAGCAAATTAGTGCTTATAAATACATAAAATTATCACACATTTCCCCCAATATTCCTGCTGTGTAAGTCCCAAGAATTACTGTTAAAAAAAACTACTCCAGGGGGCTGGAGAGAGGGCCCAGTGGTTAAATGCACTGACTACTTTTCCAAAGGTCCTGAGTTCAATTCCCAGCACCCATATGGTTGCTCACAACCATCTGTAATAAGATTTGGTGCCCTCTTCTGACCTGCAGGCAGATATGCAGGCAAAACACTGTATACATAATAAATAAATGAATAAATAAATAAATCTTTAAAAAAAAATTTTAAAAATTAAAAAAAAACCACTCCAAAGTTATTACTAACTAGTTGGAAGTAAGTTTAACTAGAATTCAATCAATATACTAAAATTTATATTAATTATGACATAATTTATGACACTATTTAGTAGCTATCATCAAATTCCTTATGTAAGTTAAATCTTAAACCCAAACATCACTGAACACAAAACTCTATTTTTTTGAGCTCCTATGATAGGAATACATGATGCACTTTAAAAACCCCTCTTTTTAAAAGCAGTCTTCTTGACTTTAATGGATTTAAATACCCTGGTTTAGATACAACCCACATTTTCTACCCCAAATTTAAGATCAAGGGTACCTAACAATTATACCAAGTCCAGGGGCTAGCAAAAAGTCAAAATTATAAAGAATGGAATAGATAATTCTCTGCCCAGGTCCCTCCCCAAACCCTCCATCCAACCAAAATGTTCGGCTTTAATAGACATTTAACCTATAAACTTGGCTTTACCTTCACTATCACATCAACTTTATAATGCTTTCTAGTCAATTTTTCAGTCATTTCTTTGGGCCCCTGAGCAGTTGCAGTTAGGATCGAGTCCATGCTCTCCGGGCAGCAGCTGAATCCTTGTTCTGTACATCTTGTATTTTCTGTGATAGAGTGGTGATATGAGTTGATTGCATAGTTACCGCACAGTAATGTAAGTGATTGCATGATATCAGAGGTGGTAACTAAGCAGCAACTCCACTAGAAACCATGGCATTTAGATGATCACATATACGATGGCAGGTAATGCACGAACCTCCTGACAGTGCTAACTGCAGTTAAAACAGATTATGAAAGGACAATGATATGGTTGCAAAACAGTCATCTTTAACAGTGTCTTATTTCGGCACTCAGAGGGCTTGAGATAGATGGATGCTCATTAACAAGACAGGAAGGGCTTTCCTTCTAATGCTTTGTTACAATGACCGTCGCCTTTCTGTTGTTACTGAATGGCAAAGGATGGATGAGAACTGAACAAGCAGGATGTATTCACCTACTCTAATTGGTTTGGGGACTGAAAGATGTTCAGTGAACAAACTTGAGTGCTTCCTTCAAACCACAAGCTGAAAATTATCTGCAACAAATAGGTAAAATCTTAAAATAAAAACAACATAATTATTTCTGTTTATTTACAATGTAGCATTTAATATAAACAGTTTGTTACTCCTTATTAGACAATATCTGGTTTTCCTTCATGATTACATACTACACTAAACATAGTGGGGTTACATTTTACTCGAGGATTAGATACTAAAGCCATAAATAAGGAGGGGATTGTACACAATTAAACTGCTTTTTAAAAATCCCTGAAATTGCTGATAAACTACAGTGTGCATGGGTTTATGCACTTAAAAATATACAGAAGGAGCGAGTACGCACAGAATATAATATCAGAACACTATTAAAGTGATTTTAATTTGAGGGACCATAGATACAACTTTTTCAGTGAAATGAACATATGATGCAACACCACTGTAAAAATCTTAGCTACGAAGATAGTCCCTCTATAATGCACATTACACAAAACTGGTGAACTCTATATTCTCAAATTCCAAAGATATAAGATTAAAAAAAACTGTAATTTTAGAAAAATAATGAGATCATTAAACAGAATATGCTCAAAGAGTGAGTCAAATTCTAAAGTTAAAATATTTTAAAGATAAGATTCTTACTTGGGAAAGATAGTATTAGAGAAACACTTTCCCATGAGACACACTCATCTCTCCAGTTAGTACAGGACAGTGTTCACAATAACGAAAACATAGCTGGATTGCTCAGCAGTCTTCATCTAACCACTATCTAAGAAGCTACAGCACTGGATCTGATGTAACATTTTTATAATTAATCTATATTCTATTGGACATATCACACAGATTGATCCTAATTATAAAAACACTTTAATAGAAAGTTTTCTCATCCATGCATTTTATAGTCAGGCTGTTTTAAAAAGCTAATTAGTAACAAACTACAGAAATGATGTCTGAAAGTATAGTCTTCTAAACGCTGATTAACTCACCTTTTATCTCCTTAGTGAATTTGACCCGATGAGAATCAGTCAGAGGTCTGGGTTGCTCATCAATGTTATGAATGTCAAGAACTTCACACATGAACTGAATTACAGGTTGTGCTTTGTAGAAGGCAGTGGCAGAAACTAAGAGAAAACACAGATAGTAGAAATTAATTTCAGCTCACAAAACAACCTCCCATGGTTCAGGTTAGAAGCCACAGCATAGTTAAAGGAACTTAGAAAATTTCTTATCTGAGGGGTTACAGAATAAACTCAACACACATGCTGTTCAAGTCATGATCTTTATTCTTCTGCCTCTCTAATTTTCTTGTCCTAATTCTGTAGTTCTAAATCTTTTTCTATTTCACTGTTTCAATTCTCTCTGCTTCTCTGCTCACCTGGCTTAAATACACTTTTTACAGGAAGCTTGAAGTAATAAAAAGTTACAAGAGTCACATCTCATTGGTCAAAAGCACATTCCTTTGGGTGAGCAGTAAGGGCCGGACCCTTTACCATGGCAACGCAAAGCTTCAAGGTTTCTGAAGTAAGACTGTGACCAGAGTGCGGGCACCTGGTGCCCAGTGAGACAGGCTACGAGACATAGTTCTTTTATCAGCTAGACTTAGCAAATGAAGAATTGGCATGATATTTTAGGCTTCTTTGTGTTAATAACCTTGTTTAGACACCTGCAACTCTGACCTTGTGAATAACTGTAAAGTTTAAAACTTATGATCCATTTACAAAATCCTTTAGTCTAGTCTGAACGTGCTCTGAGGTGATAATGAGCTAACTGTGTGCATTTTATCTTAGGCTGAGGAGAAATTTGTTATTTTCTTGTGTTGATCTGAGTAAAAAGAACAAAGCAGGCTTTTAAATGCCTTGAAATCCTAGTAAGACAATAGATCTAGTTATGAAGCATATCCTAGCATATTTTCTACATATCAAGATCATCTTCCTGACCATCCACAGATATATGTGCCCAGTAAATGGAAAATTTTAACGAGATAAACATACAAGCAGTGGAAAAACACCCAAAGCAGTTCTTAGGAAAGAAATGAAGAGAAATTACATGAGAGAAATTACAGACAGAGACAGTTATCTGCGGCCAGTGATCCCAAGGCTTTTCCAAGTGGGGCTTCCCATTAGAGAATCTCTCATCTGGTAGGTTGGCCTGTTTAACACTATTTGTCACCTGCTGTATACTCCCATGGCCTGTAACAAATTAACATTTAAAAACCCAGAAACTTCATCAATAATTTTCCATAATTAACTATGTACAGTTAAAAATGGTCCCTTATATGAATTCATATGACATATATTATACCCCCGGCACACACGTGTGTGTTTTCCAAAATAAAGCAATTGGATTTCTGAAGTATAAGAACAAAAATACCATAGTTTTTATAATCTACCTCTTTCACCACAAGTGAAGGGTTCTATGAGACAAGAACTTGTGAAGCCAAAGAACGCCCAAGTCCTTTAGCAGAGAAGAGAGTGGATTATTTCTTAAATAAGGCTTCCTATGCTACCATGCTAGTTTCTTCTAGAGAGAGCATACATTACCTTGTAAGGACTTAAGAAGACAATATTAAACCCAAGTCACAGGTCATAGCAGGGGTATCTGCCAAATGATCCTGAGTAACTGGGAGGTTAACGACCTGTGTACTAACCAGCATGATTATTTTAAAAGTGGTTTCTTATCTTTGGGTTTTGGAACTACAAGATTACAAGATGGTTAGTAGACCACACATCTCCTTTTTTTTTTTTTTTTGACAGGGTCTCGCTTTGAAGCATTTGCTGGTCTGGCACTCAATATGTAGCCCAGGTTGGCCTCAAACTTACAAAGACACACCTCCTTCTAACCCCAAGGGCTGGGATTAAAGGTGTATACACCACATTTAACATATTTTTTAATTAAAAAATTATGGATGTATATGTGTCTATGGGAGGGCATTGCATTTGAGCATGCAGTGGCCTCAGAGGACAGCAAAGATGAAGGTGGTGGTGATTCATGCCTTTAGCCCCAGAATTCATGAGGCAGAAGTGGGCAGATCTCTATGAGTTCTACCTGGTCATCAGGGCTACATAGTGACACCCATCTCAAAAAGCAAAACAAAACAAAAACAAAACCAACAAAAAACCAAAACCAAAAATATGCCAGTGATATATATATATGTATTATGTATATATTATGTATGTATGCATATATACACTGTACACTTAATTTTCATAATGTTTAATTAGTTCAGCACATGCTGGCCTGGGTTACTTTTAAAAACAGAAATAAACAGATAAGAGAAATATATCATGAAGAAAATGGATTTTCTTCACTGGTTACCACCAGTCCCATGTAATGTTTCCCAAGCCACAGCTGAAACGACCATACAAACGTCCTACAATGACTTCTACTGCATTTTTCTGTTACCCTGCTAATCGCCTCATCGATTGCCATCTTCTAAACTGTACACAACAACACGGACATTTGGCACGAATATTAAGCCTTGTGAGACAGAGCTTTGAAAAGGATGGGTTGAAAGGGCAGGCCTCCCACGGAGAAGAGGGAGGGGAAACTGCTGCTGGGATGTAAAATAAGAAAAAAGGATTGGCTGCAATCAGTCACAGGGTCTTAAGTAAGAGTAACTTTGAGTGGAGCTTTCAAACTTTTGTTGTTTTGTTTTTAAGACAGTGTCTCATAGAGCCCAGGCTAGCCTCACTTGCTATGTGTGTATGATCTTGAACTTCTTTGATCATCTTATTTCCACTTCCCAAGTGCTTAGATCATAGGCCTGTAGCACCATGTCTGGTTTATGTGGTACTGTGGACTGAACTTAGGGCTCTCTGTGTTCCAGGCAAGCATTCTACCCATTGAACGCCATCAACCAGACCAGCTGCCCCATCCCAAGCTGATATTATAGGCATGTATCATGGTGCCAGATGATTCCTAATACTTCATAAGCCTATATGTATTTTATGCCTTCTTTCCCTTTCACAAATAAGCTAATTACTCTTAAAAAAAGTTAATCGCATTTAAAAACTCTATTAAACAAATATACAATAAACATATGATATCTATTAACCAAAAGTTCTATGTTGACATAAACCTAAAACATAACATAAAAGCATGAGGGCTGGAGAGATGGCTCAGAGGTTAAGAGCACTGGCTGGTCTTCCACAGGTACTGAGTTCAATTCCCATCAACCACATGGTGGCTCACAACCTCCCTAATGAGATCTGGTGCTCTCTTCTGGCCTGTAGGCAACATACAGGCAGAATATTGTATACATAATAAATAAATAAATCTTAAAAAAAGAGGGAAAGCATATAATAATTTTTATAAATAGTGGTCCACAAAAGCACTTTATAGAACCTGCACTGCTGTAATTAATATTCTTATTGTACTAGGGCTAGAAGGGGCCTTTCTTAATTTGATCAATCTAACAAAAATCCATGGTAAATCCTACTTTGTTTAATGCAAGTTACTAATTAGCACGGTAAAGCAAATTAAGAGAAATAAAAAGTAAAAATGGAAGAAAATGGAAAACAAATAATTATACATCAGTGTAACTATATAGAAAACTACTCTGTAGATAAATTAGTAGAAATTCTGCCAGACTTAAGATTACAAAAATAAATTGCATTTTTACAAACTAGCAATCAACTCAAAATTTAGTGAAAAAGATACTCTTTGCAATCAACATATTTTAAAATGTATTTACTTATTACACATGTGTGTGTGAGGTGCATGGAGCATGTGCCATGCCACAGTGCAAAAACTTGGTAGTCGGAGGACAGTATGCAAGAGTTGGTTCTCTTCTTCCACTATGTGGGTTCTGGGGATCAAACTCAGATCAATAAGTTTGGACACAAGGGCCTTTGCCCAGTGAATCCTCTTGCTGGCCCACAACAAAAATTTGAAAGTACTTGGGATGAAGTCTAAGCAAAAATATGTGTAAGAATTACAAAAGTAACAGGTATATTTAATATAGAAATATTGTAGAGACACTCTAACAGTAAAATACCCTATCCATGTACATTTATTCTCAGATTTATCAGCATATTCAAAACAACTACCAATAAGACCGAACAAGTGTCAAATAGGATGCAACGGTTATCCATGGAAACCAAGAAACTAATACTACAATTACCTTAAAGAATAAAACAAAGAAAACAATAAAAGAATGAAGCGAGAATAGCCATGACCACTCTTAAGAAAGAGTAAGGCATGGGGCTGGAGAGATGGCTCAATGGTTAAGAGCTCTCGTTACTCTGGCAGAGCACCCAGGTTCAATCCCCAGCACCCACATGATGGCTCACAGCCATCTGAAACTCCAGTTTTAGGACATCAGATGCTTTCTTCATGGGTGCCAGGCACACACATGGTGCACACACACACACATATATATGCAGGCAAAACAGTCATACACATTAAATGAAACAAGTAAACCTGTTTGTTAGATTTTGGTTTTCGAGACAGGGTTTCTCTGTGTAGCCCTGGCTGTTCTTGAACTTGCTCTGTAGACCAGGCTAGTTTCGAACTGAGAGATTTGCTTGTCTCTGTCTCCTAAGTGTTGGGTTATAGGCATGAGTCACCACCACCCAAATGGATCCAATTTTTTTTTTTTTTTGGTTTTTCTAGACAGGGTTTCTCTGTAGCTTTGGTCCTGGAACTAGCTCTTGTAGACCAGGCTGGCCTCGAACTCCCAGAGATCCACCTGCCTCTGCCTCCCGAATGCTGGGATTAAAGGCGTGCCCCACCACCGCCCGGCTTTCCAATTATTTTTTTTTAAAATGTTTATAACTGTTTAAATACAATTTATTATTTTCCTTCTCCCCATTAACTTGAAATGCCACCTCAGACGTTTACAAAGTTTCCATGAATACACAGCTGCTTTGTTTCTAGGCTCTCTCTGAGTCATTCATTACAACTTTTTTTTAATTGATTTCTATTGAGCTCTACATTTTTCTCTGCTCCCCTCCCTGCCTCTCCCCTCTCTCCTTCAATCTTCCCCCAAGGTCCCCATGCTTTCAATTTACTCAGGAGATCTTGTCTTTTTCTACTTCCCATGAAGATAGATCTATGTAAGTCTCTCTTAGTGTCCTCATTGTTGTCTAAGTTCTCTGGGATTGTGGTTTGTAGGCTGGTT